CCCCAGCCAGCTTTGCTGGCTGGGGAATTCTGGGAGTTGAAGTCCGCCAGGCTTCAAGGGGCCAAGGTTGGACAGCCCTGCATTAGATGGAGATGGAGAATTGGACAACTTAGCAAATGATCAGTTAGAGATGATTTGTTGAGATGAGATAGGAAATTCCCTTTTAACAGAAGCAGAACAATCAATTAATGGATGTTTTTACCTTATTTACATGTCTCCTCCCCTTCAGACCTATCCGGTACAATACAGCTGGCATTGAAGGTAATCCTAGATTTCAGGTCATTTTCTTTTCACATCCATCCATCATTCAACTTGATTCCCACAGCCATTTTTTTACCTACTTGTCTAAGAGAAGACTGACTGTGTTTCAAAACTATTTAGATAGATATTTAACCCAATATAGTATATCCCTCTTCCATTTAATGTTTTCCTGTTACAGATGTAATTATCTGGAGATAAAGAAATGCCTCACGACTCCTAATGGGTCAGTGGTGGGATTCAAATTTTTTTTACTACCGGTTCTGTGGGCGTGGCTTGGTAGGCGTGGTATGGCTTAGTGGGTGTGGCAGGGGAAGGATATTGTAAAATCCCCATTCCCTCCCCACCCCACTACCCTGATTTCCAGCTCCATTCTCCTGTGCAGGGCAACAAAAGAAGACCCAGCCAATCAGCTGGGACTCGGGAGGCGGAGCATAGATGGGGGCGGGGCCAGTCAGAGGTGGCATTTGCCGGTTCTCTGAACTACTCAAAATTTCCGCTACCTGTTCTCCAGAACTGGTCAGAACCTGCTGAATACCACCTCTGCTACGGGTTTTCCTAACTAATGGAACTAGACGTCTGTGTTCTGAATTCTTCCCTCTTTTATTGGCCCAATGGGCCATCTCTAAATTCAGCCACAGGATGGAAAAAGGAGGGTGCCACCTCTACAAAGTGGAATTTTAAAATGTTCTTTCCTTGTAGTAATAAAGTCTTTGACCTTTCTGATTTTCTGGTGTATACTTATATATCCATGCCTCTCGATACCCTAATCTTATTTATGTTTCAAGGAATTCCAGTGAACCCTGAACTCTGAAACTGAAGCTAAATATTTCAGCTTTACCTTATCTACTTGAGATGGAAAGATCTTTGGGAATCCCCTTTTCTTTGCTGAGGCAATTTTTCCTGGCCTAGGCTTTTAATGAAGGCTTCCCTATCCTAGTGTTTTTCAAACATATTGGACTCAAACCCCCATCATTCTCAGCCAACATGGGGGGAAAAAATGTGCAGGGGTACATTAATAGCTGGGTGTCAGGTAAAAACCAAACCAGTGGTGGGATTCAAATTTTTTTACTGGTTCTGTGGGTGTGGCTTGGTGGCCATGGCAGGGGAAGGATGCTGTAAAACCTCCAGTCAGAGGTGGTATTTGCTGGTTCTCCGAACTACTCAAAATTTCCGCTACCGGTTCTCCAGAACTGGTCAGAACCTGCTGAATGCCACCTCTGAACCAAACCTGTATCTTTTTCACACCGATATTAAATCTCTTTTATCACACCCTCCGTATTAAGAGGAGGGATGAATAGCAGAAGCTAAACATGGTCTCAAAATAAAAGGAAAGAACAGTGCTTCACTTATTTCCAGATACAGGCAGGGTAGTCCTTGACTTACGACCACAATGGGAATCAGAATTTCCATTGCTAAGCAAAGCAGTAGCTCAGTGATTTTTACAACATTTTTTGGCTCAGAGAAATGACTCCAGTTTCCCCCACTAATTGTGCTGCTCGGAAGTCATTTGGGAAAATTGCAAATGCTGAATCACATGATCCTGGGATGTTGCCATCATTGTAAATACATGCCGGTTGCCAAGCACCCAAATTCTGATCATAGGACTATGGGAATGCTTGATGGTTATACAGTAAATACGAGGATCGGTTTTTTCAAGTCGCTTTTTTCAATGGCTGTCGTAATTTTGAATGGTTATAAGTCAAGGACCACCTGTAACAGAAAGAAGAAAAAAAACAATGCATTTTTGTGGTAGTTCCTCCCACGGCTGGCTTTTAATCTAGAAAGGAAGAAGAGATGTGCTATAATAAGTCTCTAATGCCACACAAAAGTCTACTGCTGTTTCTCAACAGGTTGGATAAATTTGGGGCAAATGAAATCTGTCATCTAACCTGCATGGCAATGGTTCGATTGTTCACACACATTCATCTGTGCTGATGCGTCGCTAAATTTTATCAATAAAAACTTGTTTTTGTAAAAAAGACAAAAAGCCCCACAGCATGATAAACTACATTGTATAGGGATATATCCAGTATGTTGTTGCTTCAGCCTGTCACTGTATTATCATTAATTATTTCAATTTTACAGAGAGAGAGAGAGAGAGAGAGAGAGAGGGAGGGAGAGAGATGATTGATCAATTGATCGTTATTATTTTCCAGCTAAGAAGTACTGGCCAAAGTTCCAAAATATTCCTAGTTCACAAAATAGATAAGCAGCCTTTGTATCATGTAACCCTGATTCCACCCCCCCTCATATGTAGCTGTATCTGGAAACGACTTGGTGAAATTCAGAGAGCTTGGCAGAGGAAGGGAAGCATCTACAGTATGTCTCCCGAAGCAACGCCTAAAGGCTTATTCCTAGATCGACACTAGAAACGAGCTACGTTCTATGGCTGGAAATAAGACTGCCCTTTTAGAATGAATCAGCTGATTGAAGCAGGCAGGATAGGACCAGGGCAGGCTGCTGGATCTATTGGATGTGCAGTGCATGTTTTGACAAATAGCCTTTAGCTTTGGGTGGAGGAACTTTGTTTTGCTGTCTCTTCCCATCGTGCAGCATCGTAGTAGGAACAACCAGCATTGGCAGAGCGTTAATAGATCTCTTTCATTTTGTACCCTTCAGAGAAGGTCCTTTTCCTGGAATCTCCGATTGCCAGTAGAAAGATCTCTCAAAGGATCCCACCTCGCGTAAAAGCGGGAGGGGGAGACACGCCTAACTTGCATGAGAGAATTCAGAACTATGCTCAGCTCTCCTTGCATGAAAAGGAGCAAGCTAGGGAAAGCACATTCCAGCCCGCCTGGAAGACCAGCCCACTTTGTACATGAGAAAAGCTGGAGCCTGATCTCTCTCCTTAGCAGGGATGGGAGTCTGTCCACCCACTCCATGGAGGAGAGGGGAAATGGGTACCGTGTTAAGAAACAGGCAGACGTGACACTGGCAAGTCAACTAGTACAGATTATACACTAGCCAGCCCTCTACTTGGGGGAAGATAATTTAAAACCAGATTATTCACCTATAGAACTGCTGTAGAAGTTGGATTTTTGAGTCTAGAGCCATAGGAAGTGGAGCTAAACTGGAATGCAGACAATCCCTTCTCTTTTTGAAATGCCAGGACAACATAACCACGTAGTTGTGGATGAGTTTTGTTGTGCTTTATAACAACTGGAGCAGATCAGCTCCGTGCACCGTGTTCTTCACTCGCAGAGTCTGGAAGTGAAATTCAGAAATGGCAGAGCTACATTCCTGAGAACATCCAAGGAGGTCAGCATAGAAAAAAGGGAAATTAGCCTGTCCCTCCTGCTTCCTCAGTGTTACTTTTCCTGTAATTTTAATTCCTAGACATTTCCAATTCACAGTTACAACCTTTGGAACTTACAGGCATGCTGTGTAGAGAATCAGAGTATAATGTGTGGAATTGATGGAAAAGAAAAATATCCCCCCCCCACACACACACATTTGCAGCCATGCATGATACAAGCATGTCCTTTTGTGACAGGAATCCATGATTTTATTCTCAACTCCTACTAGCCTGTGAGTGAGATATCCTTGGACAACGGAATGACGACCCAGTTGTAGAGTGGAGATTTTCCAGCCCTTAAATTCAGTATCTTCTCCATGTGGTT